AAAAAAAAAACTGTTATATCTCTGTTCACACTTTTGTTGTACAAACAGAATTTATGCAAACTAACTCCATCTTTAAGTTGTGTTGCCTTCCCTGGAGATCACCCCTTGGGTAATCCTAGAAACTGCAGCTCTGGAGATCAACCCTTACTAAGGTAACCCTAGAAACTGCAGCTCTGAATTCATCACGTTGTAGTAGCTTACTAGGTGTAGCAGACTGGCTTTAGCACAGCAGTGAACTAATAGAGGCTGCATGTATAGCCATCTTCCTCTGACTATTAGAACGAACTATTCAACTGAGAATAAAGTTTCCATATAGTTTGGATATGGTGACATGAAAGAAGTTGCAGATTATTCAGTGAGACCGTCGCTTGTAGGGTTGTAGGATGGAGGAAGAAAGGGAGAGTGAGAGGGAGAAGTTTATTTATGGAATGTCAGGGGGCCATTGAAGCTCAGCAGGCCCTAGAAGCAGAGGACTTCCCCCCGTGCTTGTTTTCTCCCTCTGACCTTGGATGAACTAGCGAGCAGTATATTATGCCGGGTGATTGTGCTGGTTTGTCATGGTTAGCATTCTGGACTGTCACTGGAATGTAGGAAACGGATGAATTTGAATTGAACCATGAGGTGGTCTGCTGGGCCCTCTCCTTGTCTCAAGGAAACCTGTCGCTGTTTGTCTGGGCTGGGCCTAATGAAAGCAATGGAGGGAAAGAGAGGTGGGCCTTTGATCTCTTTGTTGCAGCTGCTCCCTGGGAACTCGCTGAAATCAATGCCCTGTTTTCCTGAAGGAATGAATGGCTCTGCCTAACTAGCTTTGTGAAGCCGTGGGGAATTCACTGCCTCTGTTTATTGACAGCTGAAAAGGAGCACATGGGGTGGAATGGACCTTCTTGTGAAAACCAGGCACAGGGAAAATTAGACCTCAATTTAACACAGAGGAATTGGGAAATTCACCCCAAAGGAGACGGGAGTTTCTCATGCTTACATTAGAATTACTCAAGTTTGGGGCTAGTGTGTAACGAACAATGGAGGTTTTGTCACAACTATGTTATAAGTAGGAATATGGCCTGCATAATAAATAATGTTAAGTAGAAGTTGATTCTCTACCCTCCCTCTTTTTTTAAACACAGAAGTAGAGAAAAACAAATATTAACCATGATATAATCAGGTGATTCTTTTATTTTTGCCTTGAGAGAAAAGAAAACAGTGATACAGTAAGCATTATTGATATTATATGGAAACTCTCTAAAATTCATCTTTCATTCATTATATTTTAAAACATCTTTGAACTTGGAAGCTATGTTCCACTCAAGCCAGTGATTCATGCCATTCTGGATTGTGTGCATTGCATGGGAATATTATAATAATATATTTATTTTAAAATATTTATATTCCTGGGATATTGTAACTGGAAGTGTGTATCAAACACAAACTGGCTTGTAGACCAAGATTAGCACCTGGCATTGCAATAGTTGATAAGTCTTAAAATTACCACCTTTATAGTACACACTAAAGAAAAAGTCTTGAGTTTATCACAAGGAAACATCTCTGAGATACCTTCTTTCACATCTCCCCTCACTTGCTTGATTTCCCAGGAAGAATTTATGGCTTCTTCCTTTGGCCCCCAGCCCTTTGTGTACACCTCTATTATAGCACTTAACACATGGCCCTGTAGCTCTTTATTTAGGTGTATTCTTTTAGCTGGAAGTAAAGCAGCTGTGTTGTATTCATTTTTATATCTCAAGCCTAGCAGAGCTCTTGGCTCAGTAAATGCGGGCTGAATGAATGGGGATTGCTGGCTCTCTCTACATTCCTTAGAAAGTAATTATTTATCCCAGTTTCAACTGCAAATACTAAATTTTGGGAAGACCTGATTGGTCTGTTGTTACCTGATTGTTGCTACTGCTTTTTAAAATTCTTCCTCTGTGGAGAACTATTATGCCCTTTTTTGCTTTAGCAAGTTTGTCAGGCAGTTCACAGCCTCTAGAAGGAAGCATCACCAGTGTGTGGCATTTTTCTTTTTCAGATCCAAGCTCTCTTCTCTGTTATTCTTTCCTAAAAATAAACCTCAATGTAATGTTTAGATATTTCCATTAAGAAGATGAAAAAGCTTTTCATTTAGAATTTTGTAGACTTTCACTTGACCAAATTTAGTGATTGAGATGGATAAGGCTGCCATTTTACATGATTTAATTCTATGATGTAATGTTAAATAATGGCAAAACTCAAAACCTCCCTTGACAATTTCTTTAACCAGATTTACTACCACTGCATGTTTTGAATTCCTTATCAGATAAAGCAAACAAACAGCTTTGCTTCTTAGTGAAAAGTGTAAGGGAAATTTTGATTCTAAAGCACTGACTAGTCTGATGTCACAGAACCCTAGGACGAACCCAATTTTTTTTAGCTATTCTCAACTTATAACCTATTTCTTTTTAAAGCCAGAGCTTGAAGTGGGAAATTATTGTCAACATTTTTTGGGAAAATAACGTCTTAAAATCAAATGGAAATTTTTAGAAAGTGTTGTAGGAGGGAGTAAGTAAGCAGACAAGTACAGGAACGGGCTAATACTTCACTCTCCATGTTATTTTTGTTTTATGTTCACTACCAAGATTATTTTTAAAGAAACTTATTTGCACTTCTGTTTTGATTAATAGTAGAGGTGAAATTCACATTTGTGAATTGCAGGAGGAATCTCCTAGAGGAAGAGGCACTTATGTGGGTTGTTACAAATAAGATCGAGTCAGCGGGTTGTGATTCTGAGATTTTAGATTTCTCATGAAACAGAAAAATTACCATGACTTTGATCATTGGTAGACTGTCACCCTGATAAGTATTAACTTGAAGATTAAAAAAAAAAAAAAGCATTAAGCATGGCACTTTAGGCTTCGTAACTTGGCTGCTCAATCCTCCTAGTTTCTGGAAGTAATTTTGTGTGACTTATACCGAAGTAGGGAGAGGCAGAGAGTGGAGGGAATGTAGGAAATCAAACTGCATCTTTTCCATTTGATGTTTCAGCTTGCAGCAGTGAGGCATATCTTTGTCTACATTAATAAAAAAAAGAACTACAGACAGGCCAGGGAAGTAACTGCAGTTAAAAATTTTGTTCTTGCTCTGCTTGTAGAATCAGATAACTTCAACTATGTGATTCTTCAGAAAAGAGCCTTTTTCTTTAGACGGAAGACTGCTGTAATATCCCAGAAGAATAATTTCAAGTAACTTAAGAGTCAAACCCTCAAAATAAGTTTGGGAATGGACATATGTTATGTCTGTTTGTTTACATGTGTGTTAATCTATGTAAGCTAACTTCCTAGTAGAAAAATACCAGATATTTCCCTCTTAGACAGTTTCCCGTCCACCCAGACTGACCAAATAAAGCAGCCCTAATAAACATGTATCTAGCCGTTGAAAACAAGATATCCTCCTTACCGCTAGATTCAGTTGCAAGAAAGCTATTCTGAAATGCAGAACTATTTAAAATTAATGTGTCAGTTGTATAAGATCAGATATGACTATTATAAAGATCATCTGTAATAATTAGATACCTAATCATTTGTAATTAATCATTTGTATATTAATGAGGTTGTTAAAATACTTAGGACATTTTAAGTAGTTTAAATGTTTACTTTGCAACATTACGTATTGTCTCCTTTAGTGAGACATTTTTCTGAAAGAAAAACCTCAATTCAGGAGGAAAAACCCCAACTCAGCTTATACCTAAAAGTTTATGCCTTTTGCATTAGTAAGATTCAAATTCATATCGTTTTGTTATTTTAAAAACACATACAACAGCAGCCTTTTTGTTCAAGGCATAAATGTGGGCTACTCAGAGAAGGAGGTTACTTCGGGTTGGTGCTCAAGTATTCATCCAATTGGATTACACTGCTAATCAGTAATGAATTTATATCTGTGGAGGTGAGGGTTGATGGGTTTAAGTTATTGATCTATTTCCTGTCTTCATTATTTTCACTGAAAGCTATATTTCCATCTCTTTTCAGTCTGTAAACATTTCGCTGCTGCCCTCTCATCATTTGCTGTCCAGTTTCTGTCCTTTTCCTTATCTCAAGGTGAATGATTGGGTCTGCACAGCAAATTCTTGTCTCCAGGCCTCTGCTGATAATAGTGGTCTTGACTTTTTAAAAAAATTGAAGTCAAGCCAAAGTGGGGTGTTTTTTTCCCCCATATTTTGTCTTTTAGTGGCGTTTACTTCCCTCCCCCTCTTCACCCTCATCCCTGCTGAGGTTCTTGTTTCCCTTACCCAAAGGAATAGTGTTCTTCTTAGTTGACACTCTTAAAAAGGTTAGTTGACACTCTTAAAAAGGTTCTGATTATCTTTAAAAAATTTTTTTGGTAGAGACTGAGTCCTGTTATGTGGCCCAGGCTGGTCTCAAACTTCTGCCCTCAAGCAATCCTCCTGCCTTGGCCTCTCAAAATGCTGGGATTACAGGCGTGAGCCACTGTGCCCAGCCATGATTATCTTGTAATTTCTGCTTGAAGCTGTGAGGTATCTTTACGTGGGGTCTCTGAAAAATAAATACAAATACATGAATACTCCCTGCTTACCAGACAGTGTCAAGCATTTATCTCAAATTAGCTTATTTAATTCTCAAAAGGGTCTTGTGATGTGGGTGTAATCATTATTGCCATTTTACAGGAGAGGAAGCTGAGGTAGAGAGAGAAAACCAATTGCATGAGGTCTCTAAGTGGCTCCAGGTGGCACCAAGATTGGAATCTAAGCTTTCTGGCACCATACTGTGGTCTTAACCACATCACTGTATAGCCTCTCTAAAACTAAAGATCCCTTAAGGAGTTAAATGCGTGCCTCTGGAATGCTTGGATATGGCATTATAGCATAGCATATTGATGGAGAGAGATTTTTGACCCCTGATATCCTTGAACTCATATTCTGATTAGGTAAATTTCAGTATTCATAGTACCAATGTGTTTTTTTCTTGATGCTTTAAAAAAAAAAAAAAAAACTTTTGATATTGTTTTTTTTTCTTTAGGATTGCTGTCACGTCTAATGTGGCTTCTGTCTCGTGTCACATCTGAAACTCATCTGTACCTCACTTAGAAAGGTAAATATGTCTGTGCCGAACCCTCCAACTCCTGCCCCCCAGCACTCCTGCCATCAGTCGTGGCTCTGTTCTCATTCTCTCCTCGCATTACAGCACAAACCAGAGCTCTGGCCTCCTCCACAGGAGAGGGGCTTATGTCCCAGAAGAGACTCTGTGAGAGAATTTACATTTGAGGAACTTCAGGCTTTGAGGGGAAAATAAGGTTGGCGGATTAAGATGTGGTCTTAAATGAAAGCCTGTTTTTCACTCTAAAAAAATCAAGAGGACACGCTAAGAATGATCATTGCTATTTATTTGTCTTAAATTAGAAATCATGGGCATTGTACAGTTGATTTTTACTTATCATGACTTGCTCACTAGAAACTTCTTGTTCTCTTTCTGTTATATTTTAAAAAGGTGTTTTTAAATGGTTTTATCTTAAGGAAATATTAGGAAAAAAAACTGAGATAGGGTCCACCATTTAGAATCAGATATCCAGAACGTAACATATGTTACAATTCAGAGTCTCTAAACCACTCTTCTAAAATCATAATGTGAGATGATTTTCAGCTTGCCAAATTTTCTAGAGTTATAAAATAGGTTATGTCGCTCAATCCAGTGTTTATTTGAGGGAATTCATGGTTGCCAGGGGCCCATTATATGTCAGAAGCTTTTATTTCTTATTTTCTACCACTCATGGAAAGATTAGGATTTGTTTTAACCGCCCATTTCAAGATAATGATTCCAAATCCCAGCCTTAAATTTCATATCTCACATGGTTGTTGTTTTTCCCTGTCATATACATTAATTCTAGGTTCAAGGCCACGTCACCCCAAAGCAGCCCTCACTTGTTTTGCAGCTGCAGTGCTGTTGCTTAACCATAACTCTTGGCCTCTCTCCAGACTTTTTTTTTTTCTTTGCAAAATGTCCTTGAAGGTCATAATGGTGTATTTTTTAAAAATTCCAGTTGTCTTTGTAAGTTTTCTTATATCCCATCTTACATTCGATTCCCCCCACAAACCTCCCACTAGATAAACCACTTCTCGCTCTATTCTTTATCGTGAGGCTGACTTCTAGGAAGGCTGTCCACAGCTGCCTCAGGCAGAAGGCTAACTAGGATAATATTAGGTCGTGTGTTTGGATTCCTGTTCTCCAAACGATTCTAATTAAAACTAGTCCACTACCCCCACCAATATGTTCAGAAGGAAAAAAATGTAGCAAAATCCCCAAACGCCCTCAATCGCTTCATTATAACATTTGGGTAACTTTATGGCACCTGTAGGACCAGTTCATGCCAGGCCCATTTGTAACTGTTTTCTCTAGTTAAACATGATATTGCCATTAAAATCTCAGTAAATAGGGTTACACTGCTTAAGAATCTAGGAATTTCTCAAATATGTGAGAAAATGTGAAAGCACGGGGATAGTAGAAATTTATTTTATAAACACATGCCAGGAGATGGAATTGTGTCATGATGATCCACATTAAAGAAACATGATTGAAGTGAATCCATTCTGTATACTCTGACTTTCTATTATATATATATGTTACTCCAAAAAAAGTTATTCATGTTTCCTAGTTGTGAGCTTACCCATCGTGTAAAATCAGCCCTAACACTTTTTATTCACAGGCCACATCTACTTCGTACATGTACTTTGGACTCGGTACCAGTCATTGTGCCTCTAAATATACATGTGTTATGCATAGTTGTAGAGCAGCTCTGCAAGATATATAGATATACCCATTTTATGGTGACGGAGACTGAGGCTTAGAGAAGTTATGCAACTTACCTAAGGTTACACACCTTCCAAGTAGCAGAGCCAGCATTCGAACTTAGATCCATCCAACTCCAAAGCCAGTTTCCTGTACACTAGACCACACCGTCTTTCTACCAGCTAGTTGGTTTTTTTAACTAACTGTAGGAACACAACCTAGTATTAAGTAGAGTGTGCATGCCGCATAGTGGACTGAGGTAGAATAAAACTCATTATTGTACTACTTTTAGGTAAGAAAATGTATTATCTAAGGAATATCATTAAAATTTCCTTACTTCCCTCCATGAACAAACAAAAGTTAAAATGAAATCAGTGGTGGGATGAAGGGAGTTGGGGATCATAACATAGGAGTGTTAAACATTAAAATTAGAAAAAAAAAGTACATTTCTCTATCAATGTTTAAAATGCTAGAAATTATGCAGGCTTATACTATAACAAAGGATACTTTATTTGGGGAATAACTTAATTGATCCATGATGTGGCGTTTACCAAGGTAATTTTTCACTTTTTGTTCCAGGAGTAGGAATTAGAGGTGGTTCATAAAACTCACAATCACCATGTAAATTGAAACCACCTTAAGATCATAGTCATCTTATGTTGTTTCCCTAAAATGGTTCTCATTTGCACCACATATTCAAATCAGAGTGCACGAAGATGTTGTTCTGAGTCAGGGAAGATTTAGAATGCTTTGTGAACAGCTGTATACTGAACTTCAGAGTTCAGTTATTGCACTTGTGTGTGTGTATGTGTGTGTGCACAGTTGGGTTTTTTGTTTGTTTTGCTATGTGAATTACTGTTTGGCCATTTTAATGTATATAACTGATAAATCCAGGAGGATAATCTGTATGTCTGCTCTCTCAGTTTCTTTCTATAACACAAGCCTGAACATATTGCTCTCTTGATTAAAAACTTTCAGTGGTTCTGATTAGACAAGACTTTTCGTTGCAGTGGACAGAAACCTAAGGGGACCATTGAAGAATTCCAAACAGGCAAGTGACAGGAAAATATCTGCATGTTAGAAGAATCACCTTGGCAGCAGCATTGTGATTAGAATGAAGGGGAACCATCCAAAAACAGAGAGACTGGGGAAGCAATATGGATCTGCCTCTAGCATGCAGAAATCTCTCTCTCCACTGACCTAACTGACACATTGAGCTTGTGGCTTGTTTAAAGGAAGCCACACGAAAATTGAGTTTGGGACAATAGAGTGAGCTTGTTCTCCATTCTCTAGCATCCCTCCCCATGCAAACCCCCTATCCCTGCCAAGGTTCTGGGCACCACAGATTGGAAAGTAGCCTCCTGTACGTAGTTGCCATGTTAAGTGGTGGGGTTGGGGCTGGGCCAAGCAGGTGTTCACTGACTGTCTCTTTCTGTCTTCCCTTCTTGGTCTCACCTGTCTGGTGTGACAAGGGAAGCATGTGCCAACCAAGGCTAGACCCTTGAGAGACCAGAGCAGCCCCACTTTCAGTAAAGCAAGCAACCTCTGCTTACTTGCCCAACACACCCTAGTTTCTATGTTCCTTGCCTTATGAGTTATCTTCTTGGGTACAATTTAACACAGCATTCCCACCTCCTTATAACTAAAGTAGATAGAGGGGGCTTTGTGCCTCAATCTCTAGCAGACCGTCTTGGCAATCTCTGCCTCTGCGACAGGGCACTTGCTCCCCGAGCAACTCCTTTCCCAGGTCATCTTTCCCCTGGACATGCCCATCAGATTTAATAGTGTGCCTACTTGGCAGGAAAATGGGGTCCCCGGTTGCTGATTCTTAGGAATGTGAGGTTCTCCCAGCCAGAGCTCTCGCCACTAAAAGTTCTAGTCTCCTTGTAATGGCCAGCACATCTTTGGCGTATCTAAAATCCTCTTCAGTCTCCACCAGGGCCTTTATAAACTTCTTCTGAAGGTCTCAGACATTCAGCCATGGAGCTCAAGTGGAATTTGTTTGGATAACATGACTGATTTCAAAGCCCGGACCCCTTAGACGTGCCCATTTGGTGCTGCAAGTACCGACCATTACTGCAACATCTTACAGTCAACAAATGTGACATATTAAAGATTTATATCCTTTCCTCTGGGTTAGGAATCTTCTCTCCCCTAAAGCACCTCATTTTCCAGCACGCAATCATTTCCATCTTATGGAAATCATCCCTCCCGCTCCGTGCCAGCATGCTACGCTGGGAGGCACGTCCAGGCTTGGGAAACAGGGGTGTCCTGGATCTCATGACTTCAGCAGCACCAGCTGCTTTCTTTCCTCTTCCAAGTAGACTTCCGTTCCCCCCCTCCCCCCGCTACTTGGGTGTTTTTGTTTATTTTAGCAATTCAGAGCTGATGATAAAGACCTTAAAGATAACTTTGTGTATCTCTCCCTTTCTAGGTATTTGCATAGGAATCAGAGGAGTTAATCTTGTGAGTATACTCTAACATCTGCCCTTGTTTCCTTCCTTCCTTCTCTATCTGCCTCAGGGTTTTAAAGCATAAGCCTGCTGCCCTCCCCGCCACCCCACCCCTCTGCCCTAGGTCACCAGAGCCTAAGCAGAGTCCGTGCTCATCTCTGTAACCGAGCGGTGGCTTTTTTTGAAAACTAGATCAGCTCCAGTTCCAGCAGTTGCAGCTAGTCTATAGCACAGATATGTGCTGTTCTAAGATTCTGCACTTTATTGAGGCACCCCACAAGCCTGCATTTCACCTCAGATCGTCAAGTATGCAAGGAGCATTACTGTTTTCATTCACCATAATGAAAACGGACTCCAGTTCGCATTCTGCCAACCTAGAGGAAATTTCATGTCAGTAAGTTTTAGGTGCTTCCCCTTCCCCCATGGAGTGTGTCCTAGGACCTGGAGATTTTCATGGCCTCTGGAAGATGAGGAACCCACCTCTGACCTTCAGTTTATCAAAGTAGTGATTTATTGAATCCTTGTAGCTGTCTGCCTCAGGGTTGCCAGTGAGGGCTGGAAACCTCCTGCCTCAGCTCTGGCCTCCCGAGGCACACTCTTCACGTAGCTGTCTTCTCAAGGATTCTACTCATTGCCTTAGGGAACAGAGGGGTGCAAGGGCCTCTCTTGCTGGGGGCTGACATATCTCCTTATCAGGCCCTGGGATGGGGGGGTTGGCCATGGGGAGATGGTAGGGAGAGTGTCATTTTGGCAGCTTCTCCTCTGCTTCTCCTTCTCCCCTCCCAGAAGTCCAGCAGAATTTCTTCTCTAGGTTTAGATATTGTTAACAAAGACAGACTTCTTCAGGATGCTTCTGTCTTCAGCTGGATGAAAATACAAGGGATTACAAAGGCTGCCACCTGTTTTAAATGAGCTAGAAAGGAAAATCACTGGGAATTCAAACAAAGTAAAATTCCAAAGTTGTCGTGCTATCCCAATTTGGAGGCCCTAATAAAGGCAAAACATCACTCGAACAGTAGGTAGCTATGGGAATTAAGAGAAGGAAACAGATTTGAGAGACAATAAGGTTGTAAAGCTTAATCTCTGAGAACAATCTAGACTGCAGAGCTTCTAAGTTTGGAGAGGCTGGAAAGTGACATGGGAAGAGGTAGACTTTTGACATGCACCCTGGATTCACAGCCCAGCTTAACTGCTTGCTGGCTGTAGGATCATGGGCAAATCAGCACAACTTCTAAGACTTAGTTTCCCCATTAGTCAAATAGGGTTAATGCTACTTACTCATGTGGTTGTTAAGGGTATTAAGTAAAGTTCGTAAAACAGTAGCCATCACCTGGTGAGGATCCGGGAGCCCTGATGGCTATTGCATAACGGTGCCATTAGAACAGGCAGTGCTGGAGGAGGAGCAAGTCTGCGGGTTAACGTTTGAAGCCCACCATGTGACCTTGAAGGGGCACTGCAAGCTATCCAAGAGTTGCAGGAGGGAGGTAGATGTATTAGTCTGGAATTTGAAAGAAAGTTCGGGATTGAAGATAGAGATTTGGGAGGCTTCTGACTTCAAGGAGTAATTGTAACCTTGGGTTATGCATGGGGTCCCCCAGGGAGATCATGTATAATGGGAGAAGGTAGAAGACCAGCTGCCAGGCCCACAAATCTGTTCCAACGTCGAGTGACCCCTTAATACCATGCCCCTCAGTGTCACCTTTAAAATGACATCATTGCTTGGAGGTGAAACTGAATATCCCACTCAGGGTCTTCATTTCAAAGATATAGTCTCATTGTTCACCATGATCCGTCTTGCTGAAATAAAATTTAGTTGTCTGTAATCCACCAAACCGGGTGGGCTCCTTTCCATCTGGAAACTAAAACACATTCGAGAGACTTTACAAAAACAAACCTTGTACATGGTCAGTCTAGAGGATTCTTTCACTGAGAACCAGGGCAGACTTCCCAGTGTTTGAGGGTTGCCCAATTCTTTCCCACTCAAATCATTAGAAATAAAAAAGTCAGTTTGGAGAATTTGCTTAAGTAAAATCAGGAGTCGCTAGAAGTGAATGAGCTGAAACTGGAAGGAAATCCCTTTGTTCAATGTGGGTTTCAGTGAATGCCCAGCAGGCGGCTAAACCAGTTCATTAAGAGAGAAAAAGACATGTTCTTAAATGCTGTTCTCAGAAGCAAATGCCTAGAAAAACATACTGTGACAGCAAAAACACATCCTGGAACTCATAAACCCTAGATCTGTGAAACTTTGGTTTTTGTCATCAACGAATAAATAAACTTACCAAAAAATATTTCCCCCTTCATTTAAAACAATTAACTAATCTGTTTAGCATCTGCCAGTCTTCACTCCTAGAAAAATGTGATTCTTCTTGTTACTCTGGAACTCGGAAACATTTATCTGTAGGATTGTTTAATTTTATAGGGTCATTTTTAACCACATACTTAAAAAAGAATAATTGACGTTATGAAAACCCTCTTTTCCCTCTGCTTTAGAAATTAAATTCTGACCTGAAAAGCAGTCTGCAAGTAGCATCCTGTCAAACTAAGATGTGTTATTTTTCCTGTCTCTTCTCTGCTTTATTAAATCGTCATATACTGCGCATGATTTTCCCCCCAGGTCGGGCCTGCCTCGGGCTCTCTGTTGTATTGTTAACTATTTAAGCATTAGACTGGCGCAGAGATGGCAGGTGGGAAAAGCTGAGGGACTTGATCTCCTCCCTGCCAGAGTTCTCCTCTTTCACGAGTGCTGCTTACATTGAACAGCTTAAGAATAAGCTCCTGTGTGAGCCCTCGGAGGCCAAGGAGTATTGTTGAATTCAGAAAGGAATCGCTTTCTTTTTGTGATAATTTGAATATTTTCACAATGAAGCTAAGCTACTTCACTGCCTGGTTTGCGTACCTCACGTTATGTGCACCCTTTCCTGGGAAGCAGAAGAACCCCTGCCTCTTTGAATACATAAATTGGTATTGTTCGTTTGTGAGATGGGTAGGCGCAAAGGAAGAATCATCTGGAAGAATTTTACTCTTTTGCTTTAATGTCTTTTTAAAGCTCTTTCAAAAAAATTTTTATACAAGCCTTTGGAGACCACCCAATTAAACCACCACAATAAATGTTGAGCATTTTGAGAAAGAGATGGACCATGAAGATGATTTGTAAAGTGTTTATACAAGCAAAACAAGGAATACGTTGGAAACAATTTCCCTAAATGACTCAGACAAATAACCTGCTCACCTCCAGTTTTTTCCTGTAGTGTGATGCATTATTTTTAAAACAGTTGTCCAAAAATGGCCTTGATTTTTCCATTTTTAACTTCAAAGGATGTTATCATACAAAATAAATGGACATAGCCTTTTTGATCAAATTCACAGAAGAAAATAGGCAAGTGAATAAATCACTTAGGTGAGATATTAATTGGCTTCGTTCCATAACAGATTTGCCTTTGTACTAGTTAAGAAAATCCTGAAAAGCTTTCCTGTAAGAGGAGCAAGTGATTGGAATAGTCTTGGTAGGAAGAAACCAAGTTTGATAATTACTTGGTTAACAGAAATGCTGGTTTCCAAATGCTCATCAGGGTTCAGTGGCACAAAGCTGGCTGTAGACTTGGCTTCTGTAGATTTGGTAAAAACATAAATTCTTGGGGTCCCAGTGATGCTGTTTTAGTCTGCACTGATTTGCCCTGTGGCCACCCAGGAATCTGTATTTTTAAAAGTTTTCCTTGCTGATTCTAATGCATAGCCAGGTTTAGTAACCATTTAATTAAATATTCAATGTGGAGACTTCAACCTTCTTGCACTGCAAATTTGATAAATCTTTATTTATATGAAGCCCCTTTGTTGAGTGCCAACTGGTTATTTGCTGACTTTCTTTCAATTCAGAATTTGTTTTAGGTTCTGTTATTGCATAGATTTGCATACCTGTTTTATGGTATTTTAATACTGTTGGTTTAAAAAAATACCATTTCCTCTGAGTGCTCTTTTGAATATTTTATGTAAGCAATTTCATGTGTTCTTTTTGTTCCACTTGCAGAAAGCAGGGGAAAAGTTGAGAGTTTTTCTTAATCCAGTTGCAAGTAGGACAAAGGATATAAGTACTTAAAGATCATCTATTAAAATGCATGAAAACACACTAGAAAATCTCCTCTGCACGTCGCCAGTCGTGTGTGTGCTCTAGAAGTGAAGCTCGGGGGTAGCATAATGGAGGAATGTTTTCCTAGCTTCATTCCCTGACGATGTACAAGGTCTTTTCTCACAGGTTTGAATCTTCAGACAAACTTCTGGGAGGACTCAGTCCCTGCCTCGCAGCAGATGTTTCCTGTCACTCAGTAGGTGCGCATGTTTTAAGATTATTTCTAGTTGGGCATGTTTATTAATGATTGCTTGGAAACACATCATAGGCAAGAACATGCTGGAGGTTCAGGGTACTTCAAAAAGGTTCTAGTAGAAAATAAACACATTTCCTCCACAAACTGCAAAATACCCGAGAACAGGGTTCTTTTAGCCCTTTCATTTTTTAAAGCTCAGTGCACATGCGTTTCAGGGAATTTGATGATGCAGTTAGCAACTTTTCATGACCTCTGCTGTCCCACATCCACAGCCTAGTAATACACATAGATCTATGGAATTTTCTGCTGACAACCCCGTCAGTTCAAAAGAAGAAAGCTGCCCCTGCCATCACTCCTAACTTGTGTACATAGGATTTGTAAGAGGTTGTCCTCTCTTTGTGGCAGATGTAGACTGAAAGATAAGCCTGGGAAAGATGCTGGTCACATCCCAGCCACACGAGGCAATCCAGTCATACTTCCTGAGGCTTTATTTGAAAACACTGTTGTAAAAGCTGTTGCTGAACTTCACTGCTCATGTAGACAGCGTGGCTAGAAGGGATGGCAAAGCATAAGTTGAAAGAGCACTTGGCTTAGTTCAGAACACCTGAGAGCAACCTCTGTTCATCATCATTATCATCCAATAATGATATTAATGGAAGCTAATGCCTTTGGGGCACTCACTCTGTGCTAGGCGCTTTGCTTGGGATAGTATATTACTTGCAGTATCTCATTAGTCCATGCTTATGGGCAGTAAACTTAAATCCTCTGAGCCTCAGTTTCCTCATTTGTCAAATAGGGACAATGATGCTTTTCTACCTATCTCTTAGGGCTGTGAGATGGGAATTATTAGAATAGCATGAGAAAGCTTTATGAGCTCAACTGAAATAGTTTATTAAATAGTATTCTGACTCCTACTGAAATACAATATTGTCACTAAATATTTTGATTTATTGACCAAGAAATTGAAATCAATCCCAACAGGGCCAACATATCTACTAGGACCTGAGAGAGGCACTAGCAGTTCTAGTTAGGGCTGGGAGTTGGGGTGAAGTGGGGGAGAGTCTTGACTGTATCTTCTGTTTACAGTGCGCCTGACATTAGAAGACTAGGAGTGCTAGCCAGGAAGATCCTGGAATGTGTCTGTCCAGTATTCAGTGGCGAGTCCATGGGCTGCGAACAGGTGGGGGGTGGCTAACACAGCAGGCCTTGTCTGTCTCAGGAGCTGAAGGGGGGCAGCCAAAGCAGGGTGGACAGTATGATTGCAAGGCAAGCAGGGGAGGAAGAGCCACTTGAGACACTGCTCTCGGCTGCTGGGGAGGAGCTGCGAGCAGGCAGCGGTGGGAAATTGAGGCTTATTGTGAGCAAGGTGCTGGCCTCCAGGGCGACGGGGAGCGCAGAGCAGCACATGAAAGCCGCCTGCCTGCGGATGAGCCGGGAGATGGACCACACATGTGGATTGCAAGGACAGCTACTCAGAGAGTTCACATTCCTCCCCCAGTGAACTGGGTATGATTGTAATGGTTTGTTAAACAAACAAAGGACCTAAAGCTGTGAATGGGAGAGAAAAAAGACTTAAGGTGAAAAGGAGAAGAGGCCCTGCTTGCTAGTGTTCCACTCTTTTTAAGCTTTCTCCCCCATTTCCTTAACATTCCTTTCCCCTTTCAGAAAAGCCAGTGTTGTCGCTTGGAAAACTTGCCTTGTCCCTTCAGTGCCATTTTCTTTTAAAATGGAAACCCGATGAAATGTCAATCAGTTTAAAAAGAAAAAATCAAGAACCAGGATAATCTTAAAGGACTAGTGATAAATATTTTTATTTCTCAAATTAAGTATTCCTGGATGAACAATTTGCTTTGCATCCTTTGAATTTATTGGACATGACATGGAAAGGCAAAGAGAAAATTCTCAAGCTTCTGGCAATAATTGTGTCTAATAAAATATGGCCTGTGTCCCGAGAGGCAGACGGGCATGCTTCTGGAGGAAGCGGAGTGAGCTTTGGAACAGGTGCAGCAGCTTCACTTTTCTCACATAACCATGCATGTACACAGTTTACTATAAGTTCTGGATAGTTCTACATAGAGCTTGAAAAAAATACTGCATGTTACTTTAAAACTGTCCATCACATTTGTGTCTAGGGTAATCCGATTTGGTCTTGGGTTCATCTCATGTAAAAAGAACCAGTTAGCATTTCAGAATAGTACCTTTCAATCGGCTGTTCTCTCCAGGTAACTGAATTACCATGTGGGAAGGATAAGTGATTATATGTAACATTTTCCTCTCTGCAATTCATCTGTAGATGGGACATCCTCACTTTCACTGCCTCCCAGTTCCCTATAGGATAAACCCAATGTCCCCTGCCAGGTGCGCTATCCCTGTTATTGGTTTTCTGACACGGGCCCTTCTCCTGTTGATCTCAGCCAGTCTGCACCACATGTTCCACAATGCCCCATACTGCTCCTGACTCCGAGCTCTTCTTCTCTATTCTCCCCTCTGCATCTGCAATATACCTCCTCCCTGGTATACTCCTAGACTCAGCCTAAATAGTCATTATCAAACTTTAGAAAGTGCAGATATTCAAAAAATAAAAAAAAAATGAGGTCATCTATAATTCCACTGTCAAGATGCCCTGCTGCCATGTAGTTATCTGCACTTCAAGGCCTTTTTCTGTTTATTTAGTGATATGTTATTTTAGGATCAAACAGTCCACCCAAGTCTTGAGCATCCTTTCTAGATCTCAGATCCTTCAAGGTCATTCAGGTCATTTTAACGCACAAACCGGGCATCCCATGGTCAATGTAACTAATATGCTTTTCACATTTCTCTTCTCAATGTGAGCCTATATTTTCACATACTTCCTGAGAAAGAAACAGGCTTTTCTTTCCCTTGAATAGTAACCTTATTGGAAAAATAATAGGTCCTGCTGCTAATTAGAGCTGCAGTTCCTCCATGTCCTATACTTAGAGTCCCAGGAAAAGAGATCACCGCCATCAGCTATAGAAGTAGACCCTAAAAGGGCCTAAAGGTGAGACTCAAGGGTTTCTAGGGAGGGAGGAGGGGGATATATTTTCAGCTGTCATAAAGGAATGATCCCCGTTCCTGACCATAATGATTAGAAAATCTTCCCCTAATACCAAAGGCTCTTGTCTGGATTTTGGGACTTGCTCTCCACCCCTCACCCCCCACCAGGCTACTGAGAGTCTTCTTTAATAAATAGTCCTCTTCAAACAAGGCAGTCCCATCTCAGCTTGAGAACCAGGCCTGGGCTTAACCCTTGCCTTTCTCAATGCACACATCTATTTTACTTACTTGTAGACATTTGTCTTTTTTTTTTTTTTTTTTTTTTTTTTTTGTGAATGTGTCTATTTAAAAATACAATGCATATGGTAGGGAGAGGTGAGGAGGCGTGTTAAAGATCCAAGAGTCTGCAACAGTATTTCTTTTCCTCTTTTCCCCCTGGTGGGTACTATACTGGATGACCCATCTGGAAGAAGGCCTTTGGCCCTTTTATGGGGATCCTGGCTGTCCCAGCCCCTTGCTTCCATGCTGTACAGATGAGGAAGGCCAGTGGTGGAAGTGGCCCCAGATCTGTGAGAGATGAAGCACTTCTGTGGTGTCAGATTCCAGCTCCCTGCTCATCGGAGTCATCCCTTCCCTCTTGAACGTTTTATTGGCATCCTCTACCTACCTCTACCACCTCACTCCATCTCCATGTAGATGCAGTCAGGGGCTAGCCTTAAAAATCATCCCCTCTCCTTTCATGTTTTTTGGTGTAATGATACATATTTTAACCATTTCGTCAATGAATGTTAGTCACTGGATTACATTAGCTGAGTTATAACAGGTTGCTTCATGGTGTTGACTCTCAGATGCTCTCTGGGTTCTCAAGTGTTCCCCTTGAAAGTTTGACTCAAATGCCTGTCCCAGCCCCTGGGGTCTTGCACTGCCACTGCCTTTTTGTTGGTGGTGTTCTCTTTAAAAAATAATATCCTGCTCTTCTTTTAAGGACCTCTGTTCTCTCTAGGATATTAATGATTCTTTTTTTGAAGTTTGCCTGCCCTCCATAGTCTTTTTTTCCCCGTTAGTTTTTGTGTCCGTTTTCCCTATTAAGTGCCTTCCTCTGATTTCTGGTGATTCTTGGCCTACTAATTTGTGAGTCGAACCAGTAAAGAGCTGATGGGAGCTTTGTATACTTAGGTGGGGCTTGTCAGCTGGAGCCTTGTATAGGGTAAGGTGGCGACCCCTGGAGGAACCCCCTTTGTCCTTATGGTTTGCTCTTTTCTCTTGGGCTCGTCAGCTTCCCAGGGAAGACTCCTCCATCCTCCTGGCCTGAGAGAGGGGACATTCACCCTGTGTCAGAATACTCCCCCACTTTCATACACTCTCCATAGCGAGCACTTGTGCTAGGGGAAGGAAGGGCAGGTGCCCCACTGCAGGCACCAGGAGAGGTCAGGAGGGCTCAGTGCTTCACTAACAGACTTTCACCTGCTGCTTTCCTACCTGTTTCCATCCTCACTTCCAGAAGTACTTACTGTACCAAATTGCGGAGACGTATGGTAGATGCTGCAGGGTATAGCAGGTTGTTTTGTTGCCTCTTATTGCTGGCTTAAAGTTTAGCTTTCTTAGGATGACCAAGTCGATCACTGTTTGTTTACCTGCTTTTCAGCTTCCAAAATTTGTTGTTTTCCCCCTTTTATATTAGGCTGTGTTTTAGAAAAATCCCACCATCACTGTTTTAGTAGAATTTTTGGAGAGACCAGAGCTACATGCTTTTATTCAATTGGCCATCTGTAACTAGATATTACACTATTTGTAAACGGAACACACCCTGTCCCTTTTCAGATGTTCTGGCTAGGATGTGGATTTGATGTTCCAAAGCTGTAGCATCATCATCTGGACAGCTTTCTCAATTTTCTCCCTGAATACTGAAGAAATAATTCACTTTGTCTTTCTTGTTTATCTTAAGCCTCATTTCTTAGAAAGTAAGAGCTTAGTCACTGGGTTAACAAAATTCAGTGTCTCAAGGTGACAGCTGAAAAGAACCTATAGGCAACAAACCTGATGGCTCAGCAGGTGGCTCTCTCAGAGAGAATAGAAGGGCAGGTGGTGTCTCTTACAATGAGGATAAGCTAGAATGAAAGCTCTTCAAACACAGTAAGGTGGAGATCTCTACTGGGCCTCACTGTGTGGAGGAGGAACTCATGCCTCTGCCTGGGAGTGACAGAGAAAAGTAGAAATTTGCCAGGTAGACAAGGGTTCCCAGGACATTCCAGGAGGGAGAAAGCCAGAAGCGTGAGAGAAAGTAGCACTAGAAGGAAACAGCAAGTAGATTGATCTTTGGCCTTGCCTTTAGGCCATGATGGGAGTGAGATCTGCAGACATGGCAGCCATGACTACCTGGAGGTTCTGGACATCATCTTTCTACTGATGACATTTCTAAATAGCTTTTTAAAAATTTGATAGAGACTGCTACCAAAGTCCTTCAAAGAACTGATATTGAGAAAAACAACTGTGTTGGAAGACCAAAAGTGGAAATTCAATTTCCTCTCAGAAATGGGTCTTGCATTGATTGTGTCAGTGGGGACAATAGAAATAGAAGCCAGAAGTCACAGTTTATTTTAAGAATGTTGTAAAGCAGTTGTGCCCCATTAGATGATTGTGTTATGTAGCATTGGGGAAGTCCTGGAACTACACGTGTGTTCTGACTTCCCCCTCCACCCTCGTATACCCCTGTCCCCTGGGAACACAGTCTTTCCTGGCTGTTACCATATATATATGTTCTTCTTCCAGTCTGATCCTCTCTCATCCCCAAAATAATCAACATGAGCACAACGAAGCAGATGGCACAAGCCTTCTTTGGCATACTGGCAGATCTGTATCACTCACTCAGTATTTTTAGAATCAAGGGGACTGAAAATTATGTCCTGAGACGTTTTGGGGTAAGACTTACTATCTGCTCTGTCAGTTCTGTTAGGATCGATGGTGGTCTGCCAGATAATAGAAAGCTGTCCTAAGTTGTTTTAAGGATGTGGCCAGAAAGTGCATCGGGTTTCAACCAAAGATTGGGCTCATCAGTAAACAGCCAGAGCCGATCAAGTGCATGGTGATGAGAGATGTTGTATATATCCACACAGTTGTTTTTTTTTTTTAATAACAAAGCTTTGACCCTCAGCCACAAAGAGTTTATAGTCTGTTGGGGAAGACAGTCTTATTTTTACAGAAGTTTATTATTATATCATGAAAACAAATATTTATTTTATTCTAAGGCCCATATTGAAGAAATACATAGTTATAGTGATTAAAAATTACTATGAATTTGAGTTTATTAAGGACTCTCTGAAGAAATTAAAGAATGTTCACTATCATATAACTAATTTAGTTCTGAGGACCAACTTTGCACTTAGTGTTAGGCTAGGTATATTAAACACATGAATCTGGAACTCAAGATAAAGCCTTGGGAAAAGATATTCATGAAATAAGCATAAAAATGAGAGGCTTTGTGTTTTAGTCTTTGAGGGAAATGTTTTGGTCTTTGAGGGAAACTTGAAGTTGGAGGAAATGTGTCTCATCTTTAAATAAGCCATGGCCGTGTCTAACGCTCAGACTGTCCCCTTCATCTTTGAGGGCTCAGGGGAAATGTATGCATGGGTGATGCCCATGACTGCTGGCATTTTGAATCTAGAGAAGAAGTGGCTGGAAAGAGATCTGGAAAACCTTATTCAGTGCCAAAGGGCAAGTTTTTCAATTGAATAAGCTTCATTTTTTTCTTTGTACTCCTAGTGCGTTTGGTAAGCAATTAGTCAAGGTTTACATCTGCTGAGAAAGAATGCCGGCGTTTTACTTGCCACCTCTTGTGTCCTTTCTGCACATGTGTTGTCCAAACTGCCGCTTCTTTCCGTACAATTGATACAGTATAGTATCCATAGGGAGAGAATGTGTCTCTTTCCGGTTACATCCATAGCTAAATGGTTAGAACGTGAGCTGTACATTGACACGTGGTTCTACAGTACTTTTAATCCCAGTGTTTCATAAATACTGCATATTTGTAGGGTGTTCATTTAGATTACAGTGTGCTTTCAGATCCATTTTGTTTCAGTCAATTGTCCCAGCAGCCTGTTTACATACATCAGGTAACTATCACAATTGAGGAAACCGAAACTCAGGACACAGATAACATGGATAAGCTGGAATTTGAACTGGGGAATCTTTCCACTGGATTCGCAGAACAAGTGGCTGGATTTACAGCTTCAGGGTAAACACCTGAGGCTGAATCAGTAGCACAGTTGTGTGCAAGGAAAACACAGCCTTGCCTTCATCTCCTTTCATGGGGATACCAAGAGTCTGCCTGTGCCATCCAGTACAGGAGCCACTGGCTCTATGTAGCAATTTAAATTAAAGTTAAAGTAAAAAATTCAGTTTCTCAGAGGCACATTTTGAGTGTTCTGTAGCCATCACATCTGTAACATTTCCAATATTGCAGAAAGTTCTGTTGGACATACTGGTCATCTCACAAAGAAAGAGTTGGGGAGAATCAGCTTACTGAGATAAGTTGGAAAAAGTATATATGCAGGGCCTTAAGTAGGTGAGAGAAATACAAAACCTTCCCCAACAAACCAGCTCCTTCTCTGAAGGGGCGAGTGGGATGAAGGCTATTTTGAGTTCAGCTATAAAGGGAAGGAGAAAAAGATGCATTTTCAAACTTCATACTCTGTGTGTGTTAGTCTTTTTTAATAAAAAAGAACACAGAGCAATTCCAAGTGAATGAGTGTGTTTTATAGCTGGGCCGGTATTATGGCCAGACTTAGGCTGGATGAGAAGTAGAACAGATCATGATACCTAGCAGAGCAAACTCGGCAGGCGGAATAGAATTCCTAGAAGGAGTTATTTTGTTTGTGACCAGGGCTGTTGAGGATTCCTCAAGGTAGGGCCTTAGGCATGAACTAGAATACTGGAAGGGAACCAGGGGTTGGGGGAAAGGGGTTTGGACAGAGCCAAGACAGGTCACACATAATTGCAGAGGTTGTGCGTGCTGCTAGAATCAAAGCCATCAGAAAGAAGGCGTGGTGTCAAGGTGCTGGCCGAGGATGCCTGTGTGTCCTCTGGTTTGGATTAGTGCTGACCAAAGGTGCCTAAGTCAGCTTTCAAGTTTCCAAGTGGGTGGGGCAGGATGGTGAGGGGCATTTGCTTGGCACTGTGAACTCTGTCCAGACACTGAAAACATCTACAACAGAAGATGAGGAACTCTACAAGCTTCCTGGAATTTTTGCTGGTTAGAAAAGGAGTATGTGTTTAGTTATGCCTGTGTACTACGTAATACTATATTTAAACATGCTTAAACTGTTATTGCAATAAAGTTTCATCTAGTTAGACTCATACTTTCTGATCTGAAAGTAACCAAAAAGGTAAGTAAAAATTAACTTTTAACAATAAAGAGCAACTCTAGAGACATGGCAATAAATGACTGCAAGGAGCAGGGAGGGTTTTAAAGACTCACTGCAATTGGTCAGCTTACCATGAGTGCTCTGCTTACTGGCAAAGTTCAGCAAATGCTGGCCTGTGGACAAAAGCTACTCAAGTGTACTTCACCTAAGCATACAGGACTCTTAATTTTTTTAAGTATTGGCACTTGAAAGGTGAGCATTTACCCACCTGAGAATCTCTCTCTAGAATAGCACAGGGTGATAGTGATCCAGGGCCTTACACTGGCAGGTAGTGGCAGGTAGAGGCCAATTTGAAACCTGCTGTCAGAGTCCAGGGATGAAATGTAGGGGGCTAGTCCAGGTCCTGAGAGTGCAGCTAGGAGGAGACATCTCCAAGTGTAAGTTTTTGGAACAGTTTCTCAGCTCGGCTGGAAAGCCACCCTAGTAAGTGAAGTATTGTTCATGATGTAGCCTCAGACACTTCAGGTTCCTCCAATGATGGCCAATTGGTAGAAAAAGAACATGGTTTTTGGTGACTGTGGCTGAGTCAGAAGGGTGATAATGATTTGGGTTTGAGACAAGTTGGGTTTGAGGAGGCAGTAGGCCCACCTCCTGGAAGTGGCCTACCAGCAGGTAGCTGGATGGGCCCTCCAGGTTAGGGCCAGGGAATGAAGAAAGGTCCATAAACAAAAGAGGAAGAGATTAGTAGAACTTACTAGAGGATGGTGCCTACAAATCTGAATGTGGCCTGAGCTGGTTCCTGAGCTATCAGCTTTGTGCCACCACATCAGTGCAACTAGACAGACTAGACTAGCTTTATGCACATTCTGTTTATATCAGCCCTTCTGCAGAGTAATCTTACAAACAAATTAACTTAGGTGTATACAAATTATTTCTTATCCTCTGGAAGTTTAAACAGGTGTGATAAGCAACTAATGTTATGCCAACAATGAGTGACGAGGAAGAGCCCATGGTTTGAATAAGCGTGGGTGATTTTTGTTTATGGACCAGTAAAAACACTTGAACACACTGAGGGAGGTTTTTGTTGTTGTTGTTGTTGTTGTTTTCCTCTTTGGTCAACTGAGCTTCACAGTGACCTGAAATAGACAATACTGGATCTGTGGAAAGAACTGTCCTTATCAGAGGAAAAGTGTGCTCCACTGGCCATCAGTGCTTGACTCCTCACACTCTGAGAAGCCAGACGTGTAGATTTATATGCAGACGGCCCTCTCACAGGGAGAATTATGTTCCATGAGCACCATTTAAAGGAACGTGGTGATTGTGGGTAGTTGATTCTGAAGCGGTCAGGGAGGAAAAGCATTGTTTTCAAATGGCTAATGCAAGAAAACTGTTCCTCTTCTCTCCACAGCCAATCCGGGGACCCAGGACATGCCCCAGCTATAGTGATGCAGATTACCTTTCTGCTCCTGAATCGCACCTGTGCCTCAGACTTTCTCCCCCCAGCTTGAGACTGCATGTAAACTGGGATGTGTGAAAGCAGGAAGCAAAGCTAGTGACAGCTGAGAGGCCCATGTCTGGGTAGAACCAGGCCCACGATGCTGCCTTTCCCGTGGTCTGGAGTTCAGCTGCAGGGATTCTGCTGATGTGCCCAGCACCATCCTTCTGTTTGTGCTTAAATGGCACAGCATTTGGTCAGCACATCTGAAAAGGAAGGTGTGAGAAGCAAAGCCCATGGCCACGTTCCCCTGCCAATTATGTGGCAAGACGTTCCTCACCCTGGAGAAGTTCACGATTCACAATTATTCCCACTCCAGGGAGCGGCCGTACAAGTGCGTGCAGCCTGACTGTGGCAAAGCCTTTGTTTCCAGATATAAATTGATGAGGTGAGAGGCTTTAGCAAAGATATGCACTTTTAGAAGTATGTTTAAATGGCTTTTCTAGCCCTCAGACCACACGATGCAAGGGGAAAGGGACACAGGATCCGGATGCATTTTAGCCTTTGAGGGATTCTTTAAATCTGCATCCAGTGATTCCTGTGGTTTTATGTGACAGTCTTGTTATGTAGCGTCAGTTCATTCTTTCAATAGAGATTTCTTATGCACCTACAATATACCAGGCCTCTCCCCATGGCTGGAGAAATAGGACAACGCAATTAAAACACAACCTCACTGCTCTGACAGAGCTATACAGGTGGAAGAAGTTGTTCTTCACTGCCTGATGAAACCTGGGAAGGCTTCTCAGATGGGGACAATCTTTAAGCTGTGACACAATGAAAGAGGAGGAGGCAGAGAGGATGTTCTGGGAAAGCCGTAAGTCTTGGCCTTAAAGCACTCATGTTCAGAGGGTACTACCCGCGGAGGAGCAGATGAGGCTAAAAGTGCAGGCAGGAAGGAAGCCACATATAGCAGGCCTTACCTCTGTCTGAGAGGGTTTGTCTCATTCAAGTATGTAAGTAGTGAAGTAATATGATTTGTTTAGTATCCTAGAAAGAGGACTCTGATAATAATTTGAAAAAGTGGCAGGTAGGCTGATTTGAAACCTGCTCTCAGAGTCCAGGGATGAAATGTAGGGAGCTGGTCCGGGTCCTGAGAGTGAAACTAGGAGGAGACATCTCCAAGTTTAAATGTTTAGAACACAGTTTCTCAGCTTGGGTGGAAAGCCACCCTAGTAACTGGAGTTCAGGTGGTATGCAGATGAGGAGCATGTGCATCTAATCAAAGTTTTAAAGGCATCCATGACACACCAAGGATAAAAAGCACTGTTTTAGCGGACGAGTCTTTAAAAAAAAAAAAAATCACATTTAATCTAAGTTATTTATTGAATGTCTGTTAGGTACCTACTTCCATGAGGGATATGAATACATTTGATGTAGTTTCTGCCCCCAGAGGATCTTTTTAATATCACAGGAAGGCTCCGTGTACATGCAGTGGCTGTGCTGCACAGTACCGGAACTGGTAATGAGCATGGTGTGTGTTGTGTCTGTGCACTCAGAGCCACACACATACCACGCCCACTCATGTGCGCTGCTTTTGATACTTGGTTAAGGAAAATGCAACATTTGCCCTTAATTTCATGAAATAAACTTTGAAGTTTCAACTTTGACTGTTCACATACAAACGCCTGGAGAGAGCCAGGCTTTAGCAAGTGAGACTTTGCATCTGACTGGTACTACCATAGACGACATTATGAAATCTTGGAGTGACCCTGGAGGAAGGCACTTGAAAGAATGAAAAGATGGCAATTATGCTCCTGGCCCTTAAGAATACCACTGTTATACATAATGTAATGTAATAAGTTGGTTTTAAAAGTTAGCCTGCAAATGCTTACGTATTTTAAAATTCAAATGTCTTCTGTACATGGGCCCCCCTCTAGATGTCACGAGCAGAAGTACTGAGTGCCGATCATGTGCATGATTTTGTTGCAGAGGCTCCCTGTTTCGCATGAAGCTTCTTGCGTGTGCGTAGGGTAAGGGTCCTTATCCAAACATGAGAGCAGCGCTGGCTGTAGCTGAGTCACAGTGAGGACACTAAAACTGTAGATAAAGACTGAGACACATACAAGAGACCAATGTTTAGAAAAGAAGCATTAGTGGGGTAGAACTATTGGAATTACAGTTGACCCTTGAACAACGTGAGTTTGAGCTGCGCAGGTCCACTTATACACAAATATTTTTCAACCAAATGCAGATTGAAAGTACAGTATTTGCAGGGTGTGAAACCTGTGTATACTGAAGGCTGACTTTTCATACACACGTGGTCCACAGGGTGGACCGCAGGACTTGAGTATACGTGTATTTGGGTATGACAGGTAGAATCAGTACCCCGCATGTTCCGAGAAATAATTTACTATGGTAAACTGCACTGAAAAAGAAGTCTTAAGTCATGTTTAGAAGGTAGTTGTTCTGAGCAAGGAAAATGGCTTGTTCAGTTAAGGGCGTAAAGAGAGGCAAAAAGGGGAGCTGTCAGTGTACTTTATGTACGAACCGCCTTCCCTACCTCAGCCCCCAGCATGTCTTGCCTCTCTTGCCTGAAGCAGTGATATAATAAAGGACTGGAAAAGTGTGAGATGGCAGGATGCTTTCGGTTTTGCTTTTCAAAAAAGGATGATACCTGTAATCCCAGCACTTTGGGAGACCGAGGTGGGTGGATCATGAGGTCAACAGATAGAGACCATCCTGGTCAACATGGTGAAACCCTGTCTCTACTAAAAATATAAAAAATTAGCTGGGCGTGGTGGTGCACGCCTGTAGTCCCGACTACTCGGGAGGCTGAGGCAGGAGGATCACTTAAACCTGGGAGGCGGAGGTTGCAGTGAGCTGACATTGAGCCACTGCACTTTCCGGCCTGATGACAGGGCGAGACTCCATCTCAAAAAAAAAAAAAAGATGGGGCAACAGAGGTTGAAGGAAAAAATAACTGACTTGATTAACCAGAAAACATAATGTGGGTTCCAGTGCAGCAAATAATGAAACCAGTTAGAGACAGCAACAGGCAAGAAAAGATGATTTGGCAAGGTTGGAGGTCCTAATGTGAGCAATCAACCTCTAAATAATTCTAAGATCACTGATATGATCCAGATGATACCCAAATATGGTGGCATTGGGTACTGACTCTAGGACATACTAACGTTGTTTTCATGGGTTATAAGGTAAGATGAAAAACTGAGGGAAAGAAACAAGTCGTTGAAGTAATTTCAGCTACAGGATGAGAATGTTCTAGATCAGGATTGTTGCATAAGTAAGTAAGGGATAAATTAAAAGGGAAAGAAGTAGATGCCAGGCAAGGGAAAGAGTCAAGAAATTCAGAAGTGTGGGAGCTAGTGAAGTTTGGAAGGCAGTGGTCTTGTTCAACTACTACTGGGGTGTCAGCTTGCACCCCACTTACAGGTAGTACAGGTGTAGGACAGGAAAGAGTGGGTAGGAGATAACCAGGTGAAGTAATTAACCTGGTATTGATCTACCCATGGGTGATAAATGAAATCAAATCAAATGAAAATCCTCTATAATGAAAGAAAAGAGAGAGGTACAAACTGACTCGAGAGCTGTGGGTCACCAGTACTGGGCCAAGAAAAAAAAAAAAAAGGTTTAAATACCAAGTGTGTAAGCCAGCCCCACTTCATATTTATTCCTGCGATATATATATGCATATAGATATCTTGTAGAACAACATGGCTATTTGCCCTCTAACATGCTCTAAAAACCCTTTCTCCAACCTGTGTATTTATTTAGATAGACCTAGAACGTGGAGACACCAGCACAATCTGATTTCTCAGATGCCCATCGTGTTGGTTCCTGTCCCTGCCTTACAGTACCCACCATGTTATCATTTATGTGCGAACCAGCCGTGGTGTCCTGGAGGGAAGGGAAGGGATGCACACAGCAGGCTTTTTTATTTCTTATTTTTAATGAGAGACAGGAGGGAGGCATGAGGTTGTACTTTATTTTTAAGAAAATGACAGTTTGATTCAGATTAGCTTTATATTTTTTGAACTGGCTTCCAGTCGGCCTCTAGGTGGGGGCCTCCACTCAACAGCTGCTGTTGTAGACCCCTCACCAATTCTGGCTCCACAAGAGGAGCAGGAATAAACAGTATAGGGCAGATGTTGGCTGAAAGGTGTAATTAAGTATACTTTTGACTTAAACATACTGTCTTAAAGAGATCCTATCTCTTTTACAGAATGAATTGTTAGAAATTCTTTTGTATCTAACGTGAAAGCTCACAGGGTACAACTGCACTTAAATTGTCAGTCAGGACAAGCTTTAGCCTCTCATGACAAAACCGGTAAAGGAGGTAACTGCCCTGAGGGATATGAAGCTACAAGTTGTAATGAAGGATTGTTTTATACGAGATGCTAACATATAGTGCTCCGTGTTTTAGTTATTAAAATGAACCCTTTTAAAGTTCAAGGATGACAAACTCAGGGTTTCCTTATGCACTGAGCTTTTAAAAGCCAATGTTGAGTTTAGATGTTAGCAAGTCAGTGGAACTGTGAAAGAGATGGAATTGTGGTGGCTTTCCATAACAATTTCTTCTTCACAAACATAAAATAGCTATTTTGAAATTCCAAATTGACTAGACAGACGATGGCTTGAGCCATTGTTGAAGACAGACTTACAACTCTTATTAGGAGTAGCAGCTTCATATTTAAAGAAGAAAGTCTTTTTGAATTTTGCCAATTAAATTACCAGTGACCTTTAAGAAGTAAGTCAAAGGTGTCTTAGAGGGAAAATTTGAAGTAATGGAGACAGGCAGCAGCATCAGAGATAAGAGCTGATAGGCAAGCTTTGAATGAAGGAAATCAAGACAGTGGTGAGATCTCACGGTGGGCAGAGGCTGAGGCTGAAAGCACAGGCAGCAGGCTGATGTTCACAGTCCTATTAGACACTTTTCTGAGTTTAAGGATGGACTTTTTAAGAGGCTCCTAAGAGTTACCTGTCCATGGCCTGAACTTTCTGTCTCAAACAACAGAAACATAGGAACTAGGAGCGATAACCTAAAACTGGGGCTTCATGTGGTTCTGGGTAGCAGGCAAATTGAGTTACTTGAATTTCCAGAGTACAAAAGACCCCTTTAACCCCTTCCTGTAAAAGATTTTTCATGGTCACATATTTTTAAATACTTGCATACTTTGTTTAGAAATCTGTATACATTAAAAAAACATGTTCTCTTAAAGAATATTCTGGCCAGGCAGGGTGATTCTTGTCTGTAATCCCAACACTTTGGGAGGCCAAGGTGGGAGGATCACTTGAGCCCAGGAGTTTGAGACCAGCATGGGCATAGTGAGACCTTGTCTCTACAAAAAAAATAAGAAATGAAAAATTTAAAAAATTGGCCAGGCCTGGTGGTGTGTGCCTGTAGTTCCAGCTATTTGAGAGGCTAAGGTGGGAAGACTGCTTGAGCCCAGGAGGTTGAGGCTGCAGTGAGCCATGATCGGACCACTGCACTCCAGCCTGGGCAAAAGAGTGAGATCCTGTCTCATAAAACGTTTTATGGGTGTGAAAAATGTATTATGGCTTTAGTATTGCTTGCTTTTTTAATTATAAAAGTTTATATATTTGGAAAATATAAGAAAGAATTTTGAAAATTATACCAAGACCCAGAGAAAACTATTAACATTTTGATATAATATTGTTTCTACACCTTTCTTTAGCTCTTTAAAACAACCCTGTATTGTGAAATTTCTCCTTCTGCTCCTAGGCATATGGCTACCCATTCTCCCCAGAAATCTCACCAGTGTGCTCACTGTGAGAAGACGTTCAACCGGAAAGACCACCTGAAAAACCACCTCCAGACCCACGACCCCAACAAAATGGCCTTTGGGTGTGAGGAGTGTGGGAAGAAGTACAACACCATACTGGGCTATAAGAGGCACCTGGCCCTCCATGCGGCCAGCAGTGGGGACCTCACCTGTGGGGTCTGTGCCCTGGAGCTAGGGAGCACCGAGGTGCTACTGGACCACCTCAAATCCCATGCGGAAGAGAAGCCCCCTAGTGCAACCAAGGAAAAGAAGCACCAGTGCGACCACTGTGAAAGATGCTTCTACACCCGGAAGGATGTGCGACGCCACCTGGTGGTCCACACAGGATGCAAGGACTTCCTGTGCCAGTTCTGTGCCCAGAGATTTGGGCGCAAGGATCACCTTACCCGGCATACCAAGAAGACCCACTCACAGGAGCTGATGAAAGAGAGCTTGCAGACCGGAGACCTTCTGAGCACCTTCCACACCATCTCGACTTCATTCCAACTGAAGGCTGCTGCCTTGCCTCCTTTCCCTTTAGGAGCTTCTGCCCAGAACGGGCTTGCAAGTAGCTTGCCAGCTGAGGTCCATAGCCTCACCCTCAGTCCCCCAGAACAAGCCGCCCAGCCTATGCAGCCGCTGCCAGAGTCCCTGGCCTCCCTCCACCCCTCGGTATCCCCTAGCTCTCCTCCGCCACCCCTTCCCAATCACAAGTACAACACCACTTCTACCTCATACTCCCCACTTGCAAGCCTGCCTCTCAAAGCAGATACTAAAGGTTTTTGCAATATCAGTTTGTTTGAGGACTTGCCTCTGCAAGAGCCTCAGTCACCTCAAAAGCTCAACCCAGGTTTTGATCTGGCTAAGGGAAATGCTGGTAAAGTAAACCTGCCCAAGGAGCTGCCTGCAGATGCTGTGAACCTAACAATACCTGCCTCTCTGGACCTGTCCCCCCTGTTGGGCTTCTGGCAGCTGCCCCCTCCTGCTACCCAAAATACCTTTGGGAATAGCACTCTTGCCCTGGGGCCTGGGGAATCTCTGCCCCACAGGTTAAGCTGTCTGGGGCAGCAGCAGCAAGAACCCCCACTTGCCATGGGCACTGTGAGCCTGGGCCAGCTCCCCCTGCCCCCCATCCCTCATGTGTTCTCAGCTGGCACTGGCTCTGCCATCCTGCCTCATTTCCATCATGCATTCAGATAAATGATTTTTAAAGTGTATTTTTCGTATTCTGGAAGATGTTTTAAGAAGCATTTTAAATGTCAGTTACAATATGAGAAAGATTTGGAAAACGGAACTGAGACTATGGCTTATTCAGTGATGACTGGCTTGAGATAAGAGAATTCTCGAACTGCATGTATTGTGCCAATCTGTCCTGAGTGTTCATGCTTTGTACCAAATTTAATGAACGCGTGTTCTGTAATCAAACTGCAAATATTGTCATAACCAACATCCAAAATGATGGCTGCTATATATAAGTGTTTGTCATATGGAATTTAATCGTAAGCCATGATCATAATGTTAACTAAGTAACTTTATGTGGCACTGCCTAGTAAGGGAACTATGGAAAGGTTTGGATCTCTCCAAATTGGGAGAATTTTAAAAATAAGAAAATAACCTTTATATGATATATTATGACTAGGCTGTGTATTTCTTTTCAGGGATTTTTCTACCTTCAGGGTTGGATGTAGTTTAGTTGCTATTACCATAGCCAACCTGTAGTTTTACATATACAATTTCTTGTGGAGCAATAGAGTTCTCCATTTTACAGAAGCATTTTAAATGTAGTTTGAATATTTTCCACAAGATGCTGCAATGTGAGTTATCACTTCATTTATCTTAAAGACTAAACTGGTTGTCAGCTACATCTGACAGAAAAAAAAATCACTGTGTAACCAGGTTAAGTGGTAAAATAATCCAGGCGTCAGTCAAAGGCATTTTGCTGACTATAATATTGATTATATTTTTAACAGGAATTTAAGAAAATATTACTGGAATTAAAAATATATATATATTAAACAAGAATTTTCTTTGCTCTGTCTAGCTTAAACTACTACTCAAGCTGCTTAACTTGTTAAGTATTGTTTTTAATCACCAATAAATAAGTGCATTTGTAATTCATCAGTTTGTCCTTATTAGCTTTTACTCAAAGAGGATTATGTTTTACAATGTAACTATAATCTCTTGAATTTGGTATCTTATTAATGAGTTTTAAAGATGTAAAACCTAACCTTTTTTAAAGCTCCATTGTCTTATGTTTTTAGAGGCTTTCTTTTCCATAAACATATATCTTACATATAATAAACTTTTCAAATCTTGCAATTTGGCTTGATTAATTTTTCATACCGCTCCACCTGTGTCAACATGAACTACATACACTCAGATCAAGACAGAAAACACTTCCGGCTCCACCTGGCTCCCTCATGCCCCCTCCTGCCCCCTCCTGGTCATTACTTCCCCCACAGAAACTACTATTTGGACCTCTACTGAGCATCTATTCGAAACTTCACTTTTTTTGAGTAAAATAATTATGACTTAAGATAGAAGCTTATATGCTTCTGTTAAATTCACAGTGCTAAGATCTTATTTCTAAAAACACTGTACAATATTTTAAATCAGTCTATAATATGACATAATTTATTTCTAATGTATAGATCAGAATACTATCTACCAGAGTTTAGTCTAACCTGGGCTACCATGATCCACTTTTACAATGGTGTTTACCATTAATTTCTAGCCAAATTAGAAATGTACTTATTTCTTATTGGGATTTCCTCAAAGTATTATGCTCCTTAAATCTGACAGGCCTATTTCTGTTTATTTTACCACTAAATAGGGTGGGGGTAGGTAGAGAAAGGGAAGATGAATTTATCTGTCTATCCAAGAAGCCTATTGGTAAAACGTGAGAAAAACCTGACCCACTCACAGCCCTTAACAATGATGCTGATGACCACTTAAGGGGCAAACTGCTACCCAGGGTTGGAACTGAGAAGGAAGCTTAATCTGTGAGACCCAGCTGCCAGACAGACCTGGGTCTTTAAACTACAATGAAACCCACAGGGAGGAAATGAGACAAAGTGATGTAAGTTATTCCATTAGTAGGAGTCCACTGCTTGGGGATGTTTAAGTCAGTTTCCATATCCCCTCTTTGTTCTCAGAGGCAAAGCAATCTCCCAGAGCAAAAGGGGAAAAAGGAGTAGCTCATCTCAGCTAAAACCTCCTGACATCCATTTACAGAAGCTTCCACAGATACTTTTACATGGCTTACTACTGTCTCCTGTCAGTTCCACAACACATACTTGATTTTCCTGAACACAGAACATAACATTTGGAGTTTGGTCCCCAAAATACAGAGCATAAGAATTTCAGATATTCTGCATTACAAGCTGGGGTAGGCTGGGATTCTCCTACTTACATTTGGACAGAAAGAAACGGTTTAATTGTCCTAATTAAAATTTTACGAGGTTAAGAAAAAGTTCTTGGATTTAAAAGTATAAGTACAATTCATTCTACAAAAAGAGATCTATTGACCCTTAAGATTGCAAAGAGGCTGGGCACAGTGGCTCATGCCAGTAATCCCAGCACTTTGGGAGGCCAAGACAGGCAGATGCCTTAAGCTCAAGAATTCAAGACTAGCTTGGCCAATAGCGAAACCCCATCTCTACAAAAAATACAAAAAATTAGCCGGTTGTGGTGGCGCAAGTCTGTGGTCCCAGCTACCCGGGAGGCTGAGGTGGAAGGTACTGCTTGAGCCAAGATCGCACAACTGCAGCCTGGGTGACAGACTGAGATCCTGTCTCAAAAAAAAAAAAAAAAAAAAAAGACTGCAAAGAGAAGAGAGGGTCACCTCCCAACAGAGCTCTGTATAAATCAATGCTAACGAAATGAATAGATAGCTTCTGATTTGGCCATGATAAATAAATGCCTTGAGGCCACTGAGAACATTCTTCCCACAGTATGGAAGATTTTGGTAATCTTTTCTCCTCCACTTCAGTGTTTCCCCCCAAATATGGTCTGTGTGACCAGTATATGTAAGACACTTCTACACAGTATATACATAGACATTTAAAATAAGTATAATAGCTATAATTTAATACTTACTAGATGCCAATATCAAAACTGAGATTTCACAGCTAGTACATAAAACGAAGCTAGTTAAAGAAAGATTTTCCTAGTAAGTAAATAATGTTAGTACTCCAATTACTAGTCTACTAAAAAGGTTCTAATATCAAAGCAACATTGTCTTAAAAACCCATCAAATGTCCAATTAAAAAACATCAAGTGAATTTGAATCATGTATTATACAGGTTGATGTGTTTCATGCTTTTGTTTTGAAAAATTCAAAGGGAGTAAATAAAAATTTGAAGCTAGTTTTACTTGTTCTAAGTGATGCTTCAAGAAGAATCAAGGGTATATAAACCGATGTCACATCTACCGTTCCCTCCCCTTAGGTGGCATTCTGCGGTATGCAGCCATCCAGGCTGATGGGTTTCAGGGAGCCAGCCTGAAAGCAGAAAGAAGAGGCATTTACTTTAGAACGTCACTGTTTCCACATTGAGAATGCTAAATAACATAGGCCTCTTTAGACTTTTGTTTTACAAACAATTCACACTCTCAGGGAACTATTCTTTTTGAAGGTAAGGTACTTAGAAAAAGGGACAAGGCAATAACCTTTCCGGTCAAAAGTGAAGGATCATTCCCCTTTCCTATTAAGTCACAAATCAAAAACTGAATATCCTCTTTGAACTGTATGTTTAACAGAAGAGTCAGTTTCAAGAGCATACATTTTGTTAACTCAATCTGGAGTTTGTCCAAACGTCTCTTCAGTTTGCCTACTATGCATCCGTTCTCTTAAAAGTCATTAACTGACCAGGAACACCTGGATTAGAGGTGATTTTTTTTTTCTTACCTGGCTTCTAGGAGTTAATCTTTTTTAGAAGATTTACTAAATCCTTGTCTGAGTTTTGCTCCAGAAGCAGGGTCCATAGCTAATCCTTTGCAAACACAAACAGATTTGTTATTATGTCAAAGCAGAACATTACCAAGAAAAGAAGACATGATTGTGAAATCCCGACATGGGTTCAAAAGTTTCTACTCTTCCTTTTTTTTTCTTTTTTGGTGAGAGGTAGGGGAGTGTTGTGGGGAGGGTAGTAAGGGTAGGGTAGCTATAGACAAATACCCACTCTCCGGCCTGAACCAAATAAGGAAAACAGGGGCTCCCTCAGGTGTCTTCTTTCCTCTGCCCCTAGCCTCTGTTTACTCATGGACTTTGGACTGTACCTCAGGTAACCCACCTTTTATACACTAGGACTTTCGACACCCCCTCCACTATTGCCCCAGCTTTCAAAATGGACCCTGATATTTTGGATCTTCAAATTCTTTGCTAGCTCTCATATGAGAAGACTTTGCTAAGCCTTATGGAAGAATAAGCTTCCTTCCCTGCTTGAGGTTGTCTACGTGACAATGGATTCATTCTGCAAACAGTATTCTTTTCCCTTGAGCCCAGGAGCGCTGTTAGGTATGGAGATACACAAGTTTATGGATATGCGCACACCACAGCACCCCCTGACCACATCGTAGGGGACAGGATTCTCAGAGGTTCTTTTTTGTTAAAAAATAAAAAAGGAACAAGTCCCCTCTGTCCTAAGAAGCCTCCTTTCTACTCAGTGTTTTATGAAGGAGCAATAACATGGAAATTGTGGATCAAACTCTCAAAGGATAGGAATAGAAAGAGCTTTCAGTGTTAGTTTTACTGAAACATAAACTGGTTTTACTTCTGCCAAAGAATCCGCAACTGACACTTTGATGCTCGACAGGTTTGCTACATAAGTAAATTAGGTAAAGAATGGAATGCTAGTGAAGGTAAAATGCTTAACTTGATGAAAATCCACTGGATCTAGAAGTAAAGTAGAGCCCACACCAGCAAAGCTGTACTAATGCAATCCACTACTAAATATACAAAGCAATGCAGGTCTAGATCCCAGAACTACATGCTCATCGTGACATTAGTCTCTGTACAAAGGTCTTGGAGAAGCAGCTTCTTGGCAGTACCTTCCAGTATATTTATCACTCATATAACAAAAGCCTCCAGAAAACAGCCACCAGTACATATTTGCTGACTTGGCTATACACTCATTTCCCATCTGAACATTAGAATCTTTTAGGAATGCAAGAAGAGCCACATCTTTCTCTAAAATAATTTCCAAATATGTATCAATAGAAAAATCAGTAGCATTTCTATACAGCAATAATAATCACGCTAAGAACCAAACCAAAAGTCAATCCCATTTCTAATAGTCAAAAAAAAAAAAAGAAAAGAAAAAGAAAACAACTCTGGGAATACATTTAACCAAGGAGTAATAGATGCCTATAAGGAAAACTACAAGATACTGATGAGAGTTAAGAGGACACAAGTAAATGGAAAAACATTCCATTCTCATAGATTAGAAGAATCAATATTGTTAAAATGACCATATTGCCCAAAGCAATCTACAGACTCAATATAATTCCTATCAAAATAACAATGACATTTTTCACAGAATTAGAAAAAAAATCCTAAACTTCATATGGAACTGAAAAGAACCCAGTTAGTGAAAGCAGGCATCACATTACCTAACTCCAAATTATACTACAAGTCTATAGTAATCAAACAGCATGGTACTGGTATAAACATAGACATATAGATCAACAGACAGAATAGAGGACCCAGTAAGGGAGGAGACCACCCCTCATATTGTCTTATGCCCAATTTCTGCCTCCAAAGAAAGAAGAAGTGAAAACTAAAGGCAGAAATGAAATCCACAAGCAGACAGCCCGGCACCATACCCTGGGCCTGGAAGTTAAAGATCTACCCCTGACCTAACCGGTTATTTGCATTAAAAAGGCACTGTGAAGATCTCTGTCCGGTTCATTTCCTTTCTAATTACCGGTGTATGCAGCCCCCAGTCACATACCCCCTGCTTGCTCAATCAATCACAACCCTTTCACATGGACCCCCTTAGAGTTGCAAGCCCTTAAAAGGGACAGGAATTGCTCACTCGGGGAGCTCGGCTCTTGACACAGGAGTCTTGCCAATGCTCCCAGCTGAAGAAACCACTTCCTTCTTTAACTCGGTGTCTGAGGGGTTTTGTCTGTGGCTCTTCCTGCTACACCAGAAATAAAACCACATACCTATAGCCAACTGATATTTAACAAAGTTGACAAAAACATACATCAGAGAAAGGACACCCTACTCAATAAAGGGTGCTGGGAAAACTGCATAGCCACATGCAAAACAATGAAACTGGATTTATCCGTCACTATATACAAAAATTAAGATGAGT